CACCGGACCCGCGTGCTGCGAAGCACTCTTTGTACCTTTCTGCCCTGGCGGCTTCCTCGTCTCTGCAGAAACCCACAAGGAGGGGCCTCCCCGCTGGGTGGTCACTAGGAGAGCTTGACGATCACCCTTCCTTGCCCACCCAGAGAGCTGAGGCCCCCAAAATTTCTAGGAAGATCCCTCCAGGGCCCCCTGAGGTGGGTACGAGACTGAGAGAGCGGTCACCGATCAGGCTTACGGTCAGGCAATTTACCTTATTAGCGAGGAAAGCACTGTCGAAGGTAGTGAAATGGGCCCCCTCTCTGGCCAGAGATATGGGCGCATCCACTCTTGTTCGCTCTGCGAAGGCCAGGAGAGGAACCGAGTTTGCCCCAAGGCCCCGAGCTCGGCAGGGCTGGCCGGGGGCCCAGCCTCCAGGCGGCGCAGGGCTCCGCTCACGCACCGGGAGCTAAAGGTAGGTTGCAGGGAGCACAGCACTGGGCGCCCCTCTCCCCGCAGAGTCTGAGGCGAGGCTGAGCGGGAGAGACTCACGGTCCGAGGCGCCCTCCTCGGGGCTGGGTGCGAGTCGAGTGAGGCAAAGAACGCAGCGTCCTCTCCGCCGCGCAGGCTGAGGCCTTCTCGCCTCCCCGCCACCCTCGGCGTCTCCAGCCCGTCTCCGTGTCGCTCTGGCCCTTTCCCTGGCCGCTTGGCCTCCTCCCTCCTTCCCAAGGCCAGAGAAGTGCCCCCCTTCCCTCGCCTTCCTCCCTTTTCCCATAAAGCGTTTAGAATGGTGTGGGGGCGGCGGCCAACACCCGCCTGAAACTTCAAGTTCAATGGCATTGTCCCTAATTCTGTCCTCCCCTCGGGGCGCCCGCTAGACGCTCCCTTTCCCTTTCCATCATTCTGGGGGCGATTGTTGCCCCCTCTCATTTGGGGGGACAATTTAGGGGAGGGGCAGCGGTGGAACTCGTTTTTTCTCTTTCTGCTCCCACCTCCCCCCACCCTCTTTCTACACAGAAGTTACTAGTATCTGAGAAAGAAAGGTTGGCATCTCCCTTAGATGTGTTTAAACCTCCAGGGCCTGGCGGGGGTGGGGGGTCCCACTCGGTTGAGAGGTCGAGGGCAGCTCCAGTACCTCCTCCCCCTTTTCCCCCCGAAAGGGGCTCTTCAGGTGGGTGAGAACATGAAGTACGTTTCTTTCAAAAACAACGGAACCTCCTCCTTCCGCCCCTTCCGCAGCTGTAGCCTCCGCGCTTTATTTCAAGTTGACGGTAACGGGTTCGTTTCTTTAATTCAGAATTGTAGCACAGAGGCTTCCTCCCCAAGAAAACCTAGTTAAAGTGCAGCGCTTAGGACCTACAATAAAACTTTAATGAACGTGAGGAAAAGAGGGCAGTTTGCTTCGCGCTGGAGGAGGGGAGCCAACGCGGCCTGTGGAAACGCGGGGCTTGACCAGGACCTTTTCCCTCGCGTAGGGACAGCGTCCGGCCCTGGAACGACGCAGGGCGTGGGTGGCCAGAGGGGCCGGGAAGGAGCAGCGGTGCGGTACACGGCCCGCCCCGGCCTGGGGAGCGCCAGGCCGGCAGGAGCAGAGGACCCCGAACCCTTGTCTGCGCGCGCGCTCCGCGGGGCCGCTGCGGGGACCGAGATTCGACAATCGCTTCCGCAGGGCGCGTCTAAGCGCCTCTCCGCTGTGGGCCTGTGGGAGCCTAAGAAAGCCCACCTGGTCTGCAGGTGGGAGTGACTTCGTTCCTGGCGCCCGCGTAGACGCGCCCCACGATCCTCTTTCCACGTTTGCTGAGACTCAGCCGGAGGAACCGTTTGGGAAGGAGGGAGAGGGAGGGAGGGCAGCTTGGAGTAAACTTATGCCGCTTTGGTGAAGAGACGCCTGATGGAGTTTTCCGGAGTGTGTTTGTGCACCTTTGCGTCTAGCTGTCCTTGAAAATATTGTCTGAATTTCCCTATTTGTGAACGTTGTGTTCACAGGCTTCAGTCTGTATATTTTAACAAAACCCTCTCTACTGTAGCCTTAAAGGATCCTATTTAAAAGCAAATAACTGCAGGCAAGTGAATGTAGATGTGTGAGATTTTGTTGTAATTTACAACCAAATGAGTGAAAGATTTTTAATGGTTGGTCTCAGTGCGGGGTCGCGGGGAGGGGCTATAATTCGCCTCGGGAGTAACATTAGTGTTTAAAAATCCCCGCCCCCGCCGCCCCCTGCCGAAAAGGGTTTAATACAAACCAAAATTTATTATTTATTTTTTGCTCAGGGTCCATACAAGTAAATCACTGGGGGGGGGGGGGGAAGCCCGCTGAAAATTGTTCTGTCGGGGAAGATAAATACTATTACCCTCCAGCGAAACGAAGACCTGGAGAGAAGGAAGATGGCGCTGCGGCCTTGGCCCTGGATCCCTGACCGCCCCGTTCTTTCTCCATTCGAGATCGACCGTGCTGCCCTCCTGGCCTCCCTCCTGGTTTTGTTGGCATCTGGACCGACACATCTGCCAATACCCAGGCCCAATTCCAGGTCACTCCGGGGCCTCGCCCTCTGCGGGACACGCAGTCCGCAACTCCGCAACCCCAGAGGCTCCAGGCCCCGCGAAGCCGGAGGCTCGGTTGCGGGCTGCCACGGAGCAGATCCGCAGGTTTCCCTGAAATGACGAGCTTTTGCCGGAAGGGGGCGCCCTTGTCTTTTTTATAGTCGAAACTCACATTAGAAAACTAAATCTCTAAAATTCCAAATCTTTTGTTTGTTCTGAAATTCTGGCGAGCGAACAATAGAGGAGTCCCGAAACACTAAGTCTCTGACAGCGAAGTGGAGAAAATCCAGAGTCTCGTGGCCTTGACTCCTTCAGGCCTCTAGGCCATCCCGTTTAGTCCGAGTGGCAACCCCTCTTGTGGCCTTTTCCCTCCGCAGGTGGGGGCTCGGCAGCATGGCGCTCTGCGTCATTTGTCCCACACCCTACCCGCACGTCTGTCATTTCTGAAGCAGCAAGGCAGGGATCTGCCACACACTATCCTGGACTACACTTGAGAAGCTGATGTTAAAAGCTACTTGCTTGGGACTTCACTTGAAGGGGAACGTAGGAGGCAGACAGTAACCTCCTTTGAGCCAGGCATGTTAAGAAGGAGCTTAAATTGGACCACGGGGCTTACATGTATTTTTTAAAATCACGAAATTAACATACACCCCCACCCCCACCCCAACTACACACACTCTAAGAGACCCAGGGAGGGAGGGTGACTGGCTGCGTCAGGGCCTTTCCCTTAGCCCCGGCTCCTTTGTTGTAAAGATTTAGGGGAGTCTGAGTCGCTTCCCACCTCTTTCCCAGGAGAGAGCTAGGACTGGGATCCCACCCCACTGCAGGCCGGAAATACCAGGACCCCTCCACTGCAGCAGCCCTGGCGGCTCCTGGAGAACTACTAGCCGGGCCATCGCTGAGAGGGAACCGCATGGAGATCGTAGCCTCGGCCCTCCACCCACTGTCCCCGAGGGCCCGTCAGTAGCTGGGTGGCTCAAAACGTGAGATCAACGGGCCCTCTCCGCTTCACGCCTGTGCACTAGATAGCAGGAAGTATGTGCCTAGACTCCTCCAGTCCATGCTGCAGGAAGATCCATTGGAAAGCCGCTGTCTTTGCCACCAGCCAAGTTACCAAGTCCCACCAGGCCCTGTGCCTAGGTACAGGACATCAGGGAGCTGGCACTGAGGCGAAGAGACTCAGTGTCAGAGTCTCCAGTTCCGGGATCAGAGCATTCAGGAATTCCACATTATGGGACTCTAAGTGGCCGGGGAAACGGGGTTGGCGCCAACCCGCCCTCCACCCACCCCGGATCCAGGATTTGTGGACTGAACCACTGCAGAATGAAAAGAAAACAGTCTGTGGCCACCGTTGCCTAGCCTCATGGTGTTTCCCACCGTGAGCCTGGACCTTTGGGCTCCAGCCACCCTCAGTTCTTTCACCCGCAAAAGGGCCTGCTACATCTCCCAGGGCTGAGACCCGCAAGCTCCTCTGGGTGTCACGAGGACATAAGCAGAGGAGGAACGGGTGGTAAGGGGGCCATTTTCTGGGGTTTTCTCTCCTGTCCAGCTATACCAGCATGTTTGGGACATGCTTGCCAGTAGGCTAAGATTCTACCATCTTGTTCCATAACTCTGTTCCTGGGAGGGGCTGAGTTAGAAGGCCATGGAAATCTGTTTAATGCAGCACCCAAATGTCTGATGAACCATGACCTGCTTAGGTCAGAACCACCAGGAACCTTGGGGGAATACTTGGAAAGCATTGAGGCAGAAGTGAGACAAGGTGAATTATCCAGGCACTTTCTCAAACTCCATTTCTCTGGAAGGAAGACACAGACCCAGAAGGCATCCCGCTAGCTTCATTTTCATATAAGGACAAAATCTAAGACTTGGGAATGGGGACGCCCAAGACCAGTGGGTATAACCTGTGGGGTGGGCAGGGAGCGAGAGAGGGGCATCCTCCACTGTTGTCCATCTTGCCCAGCTGTCACTTTAGAAAAATGCTAATAGGCAACGTAGTCACAAGAGTGACTCTGTCATCTCCTCTCCCCTGCACGCACCGGGATAAGGGATAGGCTTTGGAAATGGAAGGGGATCCAGAGGAAGCTTCCCTGTCACCATCTCCTTGCAAGTTTATTCATAATCAGTTCATTCCATAAACTGTTTCTATTGTGCTCCATAGAGCTCTAGGTAGAAAATATGAGACTAATTATCGTGGCAACTATGGCTAGTATCGTCACTGTGAGGATGAATGATTAAGACTGGAACAGGTCCTTTGAGTGGTGCCACTCTGGCGGATTAGGATGTAACTCTGGGCCTCACCGGCTTTCTGGGACATATGGGGTAGTCAGGGTGTCCATGAAAAACAGCGCAGGAGCCGTGGCCTGACAAGTGTCACCTCTGGGGGCCCCTCGGCAGAGTCCTAGGTCCCAGTCTGTCTCTGGCAGATTCCTGGCCTCCCCAGGATACTTTCCGCCTTCCTCCCCACAAGCCAGGGAGGTCCCTCACTGAGTAGCACTGGTCTTGACCTTGGCAAGGACCTTTTTCTCTTTGACCCTGCGATTCTGAAACCAGATGGTGATCTGGCGCTCTGAGAGGCTGGTGGCTGCCGAGATCTTGCGCCTCTTGTCCTTGGTGATGAACTTATTGGCTGAATACTCTCGCTCAAGCTCCCGCAACTGCCCCTTGCTGTAGGGAATGCGTTTCTTGCGGCCTCGGTGGAAGGTACAGCCTTCTGGAGGGTGCTGAGCGCTTGAGTCTGTGAGGCAGGAGAGGGAGGAAGAGCAAGACACGCTCAGACCCCTGCCCAGGTACGGACTCAGGCCCCGCAAACTGAGTCATCCTGCAGGAGCACGCAGGTCACCCCATAGGCACCCGTGCGCTTCCGCTCCTCCAAAGCACCCAGGGGCACCTGGGCTTCTAGCTGGTTTTCTGGTCACCTCTCAGCTTCGGAAAGAGCAGGCTCTTCTAGGCCACCCTCACCCATTACTGCCCTCACACCTACAAGTCTGCAAACACACCCATCGCACACAGCCAGACCTTTGCCCAAGGTCACATACGTCCACCCTCACATGCATTTCAGATTCTTGGCCACTCCTATAGATTCTACAGGCAAATTCTGTACAGAAGGGAATGTGTTTCTGCCGCCACTCCCAACGCACACACACACACACACCCAATACACATACCTAAATTATCATTGCAGGAAACCTAAATTTTCTTTTAGAATCTTCCTCAGAGAGAAAGTGAGGGGTTGCATTCTTTACAGAACTTCCAATATCTCTGTTCCCACCCCTTCCCATGCCCACACACACACTGAAATGGGAGTTATTTTTAGCCTTTTGTAGAATTAAACTAGGATCTATACTAGGATGGGTAGGGACACCCTGAGCCCCATCCAACGGCAAAGAGAGCCAAACACTCAGACATATTGAAAGGCTTGTCACAAGGCCTGCGAGGGATGTGAAGGGACATGGTGGCCCTCTGATTGCAGATGGTACCTGGCTCCGGCCCCTCACACTGACCCTGAGGGCCTCCACCCAGGCTCTCCAACTACCGGGACCTCCCTTCACAGTCCTAATAGCCAAAGAGGAGCACCAAGCTCCTCCTCACCAGCCCCAAGTCTCCCTTCACTTCCTCCCAAGCAAGTGCCAGCTGGGCCTGCAACCCCATGCTTAGCAGCACCAAAGAGACCCAGAATAGCGAGTCAGGTTACCTGCAAATGCTGCCTTCCAGAAGGAGCCCGGTGGATTCTGTTCTCCCTGGCAACACATCTGGCTGTTCCAGCCACCGGTGAGGGCCCAGGGCTGGTAACTGTCCACAGGCAGCAGGGTGTCGTGGCGAGGCTCTCCTGGGGCACCCAGCGTCTGCACCACTGACACGTCTAAGTAACTGGCCATAGGCTGGTAGGGTCCCGGGTACCCCGGATAGAAGGCAAATTCGGTGTGGCGGCTGGGGTACTCCTCCCCGGCCGCTGGAGTCTCCGCGGGGTACGCGGCCAGAGTGGCTGCCTGGGCACAGGGTTTCAGAGAGCTCCGGGACACTCGGCAGGAATAGTACCCGCCTCCAAAGTAGCCATAAGGCACTGGAGCTGGGGACGCCCCCTGGGGCACCCCGGGACATGGGTGGCACTGCTTTGGCGGTTCCGCAGAGCCTGGCAGATCCAGGGAGGGATAGTTGACCGCTGGCATAAGCGTAGGCGCCGCCGCAGGGTGGCTGGTCAGTGGGGAGTGGGAGACTAGATTCCGACTCCCTCCTGCTCCCAGCAAGCCTTCGATATCCTTGGCCCCGTCCAAAGTGGCAAAATTGCCGGGCTCCATGGGTCCAAGGGTCGGCTCATGGGGTGCTGAGAGTGGGGGATGCAGGGGGCACCCAGCTCGCTTTACCCACCCTGGCCCGGGGAAGCCAAAGCGTTTTAAATCTCTTCCAGCTCGAAGGGCGCCAGCATTCGCTCGGCCTGGCCGTCTTGACGCAGGAGACGCAGGTGCCCCGGCACGCGCGCTGATTGGCTGCGGCCCGGGGGAAAGAAGCTAGTAAAATCTTCAAGGCAGAAATTGCAAAAATACTTTACCCCCGCGCTGCGCTCTCCCTCCTTGCTGTCCTTCCCTCCCTCCGCCCTCCCTCTTTCTCCTTCCTACTCTCTCTCCCTCTCCCTCCCCTCCCACCCTCTCTTTCTTGCTTGAAAACAAGAGAAAATAGGTGTCCTTTCGCTGCTTTCTGTGGGGGTGGAGAGAAGTGGGAGGCGGAGAAAGAGGGGACGTGAGCCTGCCCCCACCTCTGTCGCCTCCGCTCTCTCCCTGGCTCTGTCTCCTGTGCTTTGGCAGGTTTAACGAGAGAATAAAGCTCTCCCTATAAAGTGTCCATCTTGTAGGGGGAAGAGGAGTCGGGGGTGGGGCCAGGAGGCCCCAAGGCCTGAAAGGGGAATCTGAGAGTGCGCCTGAGCCAGCGGAGGCAAGGAAATGGGAATTCAACGGTATTTCTGAGAGCCCCTTGTTTGAGTCCTGGGTACTAGCATCCCAGTTCACCCCAGATGCTTCTCCCATCCTGAATGCACTGTAATAAGCTCCTGGTCCAGGGAAGTGCCTGGGCGGCCCTTTCCCCAGGGACCCTAGCTGCCGACCCAGACGGCTCTCGGATTGGGTCGGGGCAGAGGAAGAGGGAAGACAGAGTTCCGAAGGAGGAGGCGTGAGATCTGGCGCCTGGGACACAAAACGTCTTAGACCCGAGGGGAAATGGGGCTTCTCGACCGGCCCTGTGAAAAGGGGTCTGGATTTCGGTTTCAGGGTTGGGGGAAAGAGATACAAAGAGAAAACACACGTGACATATATTCAGAGAGAGAGGCCGAATCAGAGACAAAAGGAGGAGACCCAGGAGGCAGCACAAAGAGGGAAAGAGAAATTGAAACGGGATGAGAGGAGATCTTATAAAATACTGAAGCTTCAGTGGAAAAAGAGAATCTCTCCCCCTTTTCCGAGGTCTAAGGAATTTCCAGGAAGTCAGGCCTGGCTAAATGACCATGAACTAGGCGTGGTGTTTCCGGACTTCAAAAACACAGGAGCCTGGCCTGTGCGAAGCTGCCTCTCTGCCCTGCAGTCCTACTACGTTCCAAAAGGCCCAGGAAACACCCTGGCACTGGCTCACTTCTACTCACGTTTAGTGTCCAGAAAGCCCAGGACCCTGTGGGCTTCCCCTAGGCTCAAACTTTCTTAGAAGGAAAAGGGGTGGGAGAGGGAACCGTACCCACTGGAGAAATTGCTTGAAGCTCCTCTTTTGGGGCCTACTCTGCAGCATCATTCAGAGGGTTCCAACTGCTTTGTTTCACAAATCTGAGGTTTCCTGTTTCCTTTACTATCCCTCCCAAATCAATCCTGAGTCCACTTCTCCTAGAACCCCCAGTTTTTCTGAAGAAAACAGGAATTATTCTATTCTGTACAGGGGTCATGGCAGTTATATAAAACAGACCACTCTGAGCTCTAGGTGGGTTCAGCCATGCCCACTCACAAACTTGAACCTGAACTTGAGCCATCTTTCGGGACTGGGCCCAGGCAAACTGGAGTTGCAGGACTATAGTGAAAATTAGATCACCTATAACAGACATCGCTGCCCTGGCCAGGTCATCCCACTATGCCAAGGTTACAGTTCTATCCTAGGTCAGGGCACATACAAGAAGCAATCAATGAATACATAAACAAACAGAACCACACATCGATGTGCCTCTCTCTCATCAATAAATTTTAAAAATGAACTAATTGAAGACACAAAACAGGAAATCCTCATTAGATTTTATTATATTTGAAAACAACATGAGAGAAAAGGGAGATGCCTCTTCGACAGGTCTGGGTACTTCTGCTATAGCATCTTTGCTGCAAATACTTTTGCTGCAAACATCTTCACCACATAACTAATTGGCCGTGAGGAAACTTTGCCATTAAAAAGATAAAATTAAGAAAAACAAAAGGGGGACATTTTAAAAAGACATAACAAAATTAAAAAGACTTTATTGTGAAATACAAAATATTTGAGTATATTTAAAATGTGTGTAGATTCATGGCAATCCTATGCAAATAACTGATTTTATTTTGTGGATTACACCTAAGCACTTGTCTTCCTTGCGTGGGAACTGTGGGTTCAACTTTGTGCTCTCAAAGAGAGCCCTTGGCTTCTCTTTCTCCTCCCAATGTACAGGCGTACCTTGGAGATATTTTGGATTTGGTTCCAAGCTACTGCAATAAAGTGAGTTACAAGTTTTTTGGTTTCCCAGTGCATAAGTTATGTTTACACTATACTGTAGTCTAGTAAGTGTGTAATAGCATTTATGTCTAAAAAAGGTACATACTGGCACCTATTTTTTAATTTTAAAATTCTGCATCGCTAAAAAATACTAACATCCTCTGAGCCTTCAGCAAGTCGTAATCTTTATGCTAGTGGAAGGTCTATCTTCAATTTATTAAAAAACACTATCTGCAAAGTGCAATAAAGTGAAATGCAATAAAATAAGAGATGCCTGTAGTGTGTTTCACAATAAGAAACTAACTCTTGGGGCATATTATCATTCTCTGGAAGAAAGGCTAAGTATTTAAAGACCACTGTCATATCTACTCATCACTGTATAGGCCATTATGAGGGCTACCTAAGATTTACGCATAGTATAAAAATGGAAGTAACTCTGAGAACTTCATCAGTGTAGAAATGAATCCAAACTAACAACTGGCTTAAATACATTAAGTCTTCAAAGGCAGCTGATGAGTTTTCAATGGAAAAATGAAACCAAACAAACAAAAACATCAAACTGTCAACCAGTTGTTTTATCTTTTTTTACAGCAAAATTACCTTATGGCCAATTAGTTATGTGGTGAAAATGGTTATGGCCAAAATGCTTTCGGCAAAGATGGCTAAGGCAACGCTGCTTATAGTGAAAATACTGGACATGCTCTTTGATGCTTTGCAGTTTCTAATAATGAAAGACAGAAACATCAGGATTTTTACCTAAAGACTTAATTTTTTTTCACTGGTTTGTGCTTGGTAGGTGACAGTATAGGCATGAATAAATCCTTAAATTAAAAATATAAATAATCATAGTCATACCCTATAACCCAACAATTCCATTCCTGGGCATATACCACAGGAAGTGTTTATGTCTAACAAGAGTCATGTACTAGAATGCCCAAAGCAGCTTTATTCATTATAGCTCAAAAATAGAAACAACCTAAATCTCCACCAACAGTTACAAGGTAAATAAATTGTACTATAATTAAAATTTGCTGAGTACTACACAGCAACTTTTAAAAGCTACTGCTACACACAACATGAATAAGTCACACAGATATGTGGGTGAAAGAAACCAGGCATAGAAGAGTAACTTTTGTATGACTCTATTTCTATGAAGTTCAAGAACAAAATTAGGTTCAAGAGCAAAATTAGGTTAGAAGAGATTACCCTGGAGAAGAGGGCTTCTGACTGGGAGGTGCCATACGTAAGCTTTCTGGGGTGCCGGAAATGTTCTCGACTTCAATCTGCAAGCTAGTTACATGGGTGTGTTCACTTCGTGAAAATTCAAGCTGTACGTGATATTTTGGCGCTTTGTTATACACCAGCTTTTTCTCTGTTTTTAGAAGGAAAAATAATTAAGTACAAAAAATTAAAGATCCCTAGCAACATTGTCTGCTGCTACACTTTTTGGGTACGTGGAATTCTTATCTAGGTCCATGGACAAAAGCATCTGAGTGCGCATAACCCTGCATCGTTGCGGAATGCCCATCTTCTGGGGACCGCGCCAGCTGTGCTGGAGATCTCTCCGTAAACGGACACATTTCAACGCAAATAAGAATTATAGGGTTTGTTGGTTTTGTTTTTGTTTCACTCTACAATTTACTTAGCATCTACTAGATCCCAGGGAAGAGTTCTGAATATCCTATTTATTAACACATGAATATGTGCTTCCATTTCCTGGACCTGCACAGGTATGGGCATCTCTTTGTGACCTATCATAGTCCCCAGTTGGAGTCGGATAAAGTAGGATTAAGTCTCCTTATCTGTAAAAATTGTCTGTCTCTTAATGGGCACAATAATTACTACCTCACAGGAAGGCTGTGAAGATTAAATTGAGATGTTGCAAATAAAAGCGCGTTATAAACTGAATAAATGAATTCTATTTGTCTTTCCGTACTTATATCTGTTTCTAATGAATTACAAGATACTCGTTTTTATTTTTAAAGAAAAAGGATAGTTGCGCTAAAGAATACTGGTCACTCCTTGCTTGCCTATCTCAGCTCCGAATAAGCCAGAGGTTCCCACAAAGAGACACTGAGGCTAAGAGCCCACCCCTCAGCCTCCCTGGGGCTCTAAAAAAGCTCAGGACTGAGGCCTCAGTACAGCCCGGGCCTCCCAGCCCTTCCCCCAGCCCCGCAGACTCCTTTGTGTCCTACTGGGAGCCTCCAGGCAGACCCTCTCGGGCTGCTGAGCCTCCCCACACCCTCAGCTCCCTTTTACTGACCCAGCCAAAAGAGCTGAAAGCCTCAGCTGCTCCTTTACATACCGGCCAGACACCTTCAGGGTCAAGGCCAAGTTGAAAGTTAAGAGCCTGTTTACCGCCGGCAGCCCAGTCAGGGAGGCCCCACAGACCGCCTGTGACCTTTACAGCCGGGCCTTTGAGCGCAGCCGCCGCGACCCCAGGGGTTCTGGACACGGGGACTTGGCACCCCCTTGTCAGCTCCCGCCCCTGCCCGGAGTCCTGCCCGCCAACAAGGAGTTAGGGGCAAGAGGCACCTACCCGACCTACTTGCAGCATTTGTTAAATTATGTTTTACTTTTTTTTGTAAAG